GGCCCAACCACATTCAACCACATCCAATCACCGCGCCTGGTGCTCCAGCAGCTGCAGCAGCTGGTCCGACGCCCCGCGGCCGCGCGAGTCCTCCCGCAGCTTGCATGGCTGTCCCGGGAACGGCACCGGCGCCCGCGCTTGCGGCCGCGCGGCACCGCAACGCTCGGAGAGCCTTGCGGCTATAGGTAAAGATTTGGACGCCCAACATTGTGGCTTGCCGTTTGGTGTTCCCCTTAAAAACCTGCAAAAAAAGAGGTACCCACTCCAAAAGAACAGTGTCACATGGAGGTTTTCCCGGGTTGCAAAATGGTGTGTTTCCTTTGCTTTGCCAACCATGAAGGGGATGCATCTCTTTGAACCGCCTAAAAAGCGGTGGGGCTCACGGGGGGTCGATTTTTCCCCAAAAGTGGGAGTTGAAGCAAGGATGGTGCAGCGTCAGTTGTGATTTAAAGGGAAACCGAAGGAAACCGTTGACCAATTGATCCCCTCCCCCCAAATAGGTGGTGTTCCTCTTTTCAGGAACGGCCAAAGGAGCAACGCTGAGATCAATGTACAAGGCATTTGAGCACATCCCTGCGCCTCATGAGCTAACCCCAAGGAACTGGTGGGGCCTGTAATTCAATCATCCCCTCTATTGTCTGCTCCAATGTTAAGTGACCTCTCAAATGCTGGAAGCTACCCTAACCTCATGCGCGAGGGACAAAAAGGAGAAAACCTGGCTACACGGCTCTTGTTCAATCAGCAAAGTACTGTGAATCAACCAAGCAGCTGGCTTACTGTCGAAACCCGATTAAAACAACATCCCACTTAGTGTTTCGGCGGGATCCCACAAGGAATCCCAAAGGAAGATTAATGTACAAAAGATGTAAAAAATAAAATAAAATAAAAAATAAAAAAAAACACGAGTGGTGTCACGTTGCTTGTCCTGTAAACCAACCAAAACCAATGATACCCTCAAAAAGGACACCCACATGAAAGCTGTCGGAGAAACGCTGGCAAGACTGATGGGCAGTCCAGAATTCCCGGCCCCAATGCGCTGACCATGACTCGGCCGAGAAGCAAAATGACGTCATTCGTATTCATCTGCACGTTCCTGCCAGGGGGGCTCCATAGACACGTAGATGCCATTTTCGCAAGGCCCAAAAAGCAAAAACCCAATGAGCTGATAAGAAGGTGGTAGTAAAATGGGTAGCCGTCAAAATAGGGGTTGGGACTGGGACTCCGCTATGCATGCTTTTTTTTTTTTTTGGGGGGGGGGGGGTTCTGAGTGGTGTTTCATGTGGTTTCCCGCTAGACAACTTTCAATAGACCCCAAGTGCGCGATACTCTCCTCTTGAAGGGTTTTCGGTCAGGCTCCACGGCAAACTTTGCAGGGAAAATCAGGACATTGACATTAGATCCCCCCCCGCCCGAAATTTCAACGAACCATCAAGAAGTACTGGGCACCCTGGAAAAAGAATCCCTGGGTTGACTTTTGTTTAGGGGCGAACAGCCCCCCTATCAAGCTGTCAGGTTCGCTCCGGGGCCAACCTAGTGTGCCGTGGTCAAACCTCCTTTTGCTCCTTTGCGTACCGCCTGTGACGACGGCCTTTGGGTTAAAACCTAGAAATTCCTCAGGTCAACTGCCGCCCGGGAACCCGCCCTTCCCAGGGCAAATGGACTTCCAGCAGTCACAACCGATGAACATCGACCGCACAAATCGAGTTCCCGCCGGCGGGAAATCCGCAAAGGCTCGACATGGAGCCCAAGAGGGCGTCCCAACAAAAGCCCGAAAGGAGTCGCTTGCCTGAAAATGGATGGGCTGTTGCGGAGCATGGCGTGCTTGCTGATCCCGCAAAATGGGTGGCTCCCCTTCGGCTTTCCTGAAGCCCAATGGCCCTCTGCTGACTGACAAGGAACCCAAACAGGTGCCATGAAACCATCTGGAGGACGTCTTGTTGACCAAAAGAGCTTTCCAAAAAGGCGACAGTCCAGAAGCCGAGGGAATAAGTGCGATGGAGTTTGAGAGGACATGGGGGCCCTACCCAACTTTCCAGCCCTTGGTACGATAGCAATGAACAGGACAAAAAGACACAAAACAAAAAATGAGCAGAACCCCAAAAAACACGAACCACTTGCCAACGTCCCCCGATTTTATCACAAAAGAAAGGAGGAAAAAAACGAGGAAAAAAAAAGAAAGAACAAAAAAAGCCCCCCAACACGGAGACGACTCGCGCCACGCGGCGGATTTTTTCTCGCTGAGGACCCCGGCTGGTGCAGCGCCTGCAGCTGCAGCTCCATGCCACTCAGCCGCTCCGCGTCAGACACCTGGCCCTCCTGAGGCGAAGGCACCCCCCGACCGCCCCCCCCCAAGGCGTTCGCCTGGGAAAAGAAACACGGGAGGGTCAAACTAAGAGAAGGGGGGTTGGGGGTTTAGAGTCGGAAAGAAGGAGGCCAAAAAAAGAAAGGTTGGGGGGGGGGTCAAAAAAACCTGGCCGCATATCCAGTCGGGTGCCTGTGCCCCCTAACCCAGATCACATGGGACCCCATTTTGTGGTCACTCGTCCTCCCCTACGCGAATACAAACAATTCCATCTTCTTTCTCCCATGCACTCCCATGGTGAAGTGGGTGACATCTACGGGGCCAGGGAAAACACAAAAACGTCTTAGCTCCACTTGGGGATTTGTTTGTCAATTGGGGAGCCTTTCATGGGCATCGTAACTTACATGCGGTCTTGCATCTACCCCAGCTACTCTTCAACTAGAAATAAGACTTTGGACTGCGGCAACCAATTTTTAGGAGATGTGTCGGTGACGACATGTCAGAAAGAGCCGCTTTGAGCCCAACCGAGAGCCGAGATGCTGGTGTCACATCCAACATTCGCAAGTTTTAGTCAATCTTAAAACGTTAAGACGTATCAAAGCAGACCACAGGTTGTATGGAGCGGTGTCTTTTGTTGATGGTACCCTTGTTGTTGTTAGCAAAATTCCAAACTTTGGATTCCAAACAGATCCACATGCGCATGGGGGGCTTTTGTGCGGGTGTATTTGGGGTTGTTGTGCAGAGAAAGCATCAGGAAACCGCAGCCCACTTTTCCATGTTGCCCTTGATGAGACGTTGGAAACCCAATAACGGCCCCCAAAATGGCGGACTCGGGCGTCCTTTCGGTGTCCCTTTGCAACCTACCTTAGAAAGAGGGATGATGACAATCAAAGGGTTCCCATTGTTCTCTGTGGAGGCAGCGCATTGATTCATAACCTCTGCGTTCCATGCCTGATTTCCATTGCTTGCAATCCACCCCAAGCTACCCCAAGGATCTGGGCCGCCATAGCTATTTGTAACCAAACCAAGCCATCAAAAGGACACCTACTGGCCTAATTCTTTCACCATGATCAAAGTCACCCCCATTCGTGGTGGGTTGAAGGGGTTAACAACCCCCATGTACTTTGATAACCCCCAGAAACAGGGCTGTGGGAAATGACCACTTCCGTGATACAACAATAAGGGCTTCCCAAAGACTCACCCACATAACGGGGGAGATTCCAACTTGTATCACAGAAGTGGTTGGTAAAACCCCGAGTGATCCCACAACCCCGCAAAAAACCGTTGCCCCCGGAAAGAAAAAGATATGGGGGGGGGAGGGAATTCGCCATTTGGGAGGGAATTTGCCCAGAAACCTTCAAAATGACCAAAAGACCTCCTGCCAGCTCCTTGGATCCAACAAAACCCGCCTGCAGCTGCAGGATGGACGTCTGGGACTTCTTGGCCGCGGCGGTGACCTGGTCATAGGGATCACGGCAAGCGCCCGGCCTCACCTTCCCACATGGCTGTGGGTCAAAACCAATGGTATCATTTTGGGGTAGGTGAATTCACCACCCATTTTAGAACCTATTTTAGTGGGGGTTGGGATGTTCACTGGGGTACGGGATTTTGCATTAGTCTATTTTAGTGGGGATTGGGATGTTCACTGGGGTACGGGATTTTGACCCATGGTGGACGTGTCTTCGAAGAAGGGGACCCTCAACCGAGTCATAAACTCAAAACCCAGTGTTAAAATGGTCGTAATCCCACCATGCTTCAAGAACGGAGAAGGCGGATTTCCGATTTCCGCTATTTGTGACAAGGGGATTATCAACTTGGGAAGCTTACCCTGGGACCCAAAGTCGGTGGCGAAATCTGCGAAGCCCCGCAGGAAGAGTGACTAACTTCTAGTGGTTTAGTACGGAAAACCCATATTCGTTGGCAAAAAAAGTTGAAGTCCTGACATCCCGGAGGCAACGTGCACCACAACTTGCGATCGGATTCGAGAGATGGGGCCCTGAGAAATGGAGTCTGACCCCGAAATGGAGTCAGCCCTTGCTGGTGGTTTCCTTTAAGAGGACCAATGCCTGGGTTTCTTCCCACATTCTCCACTGAGGACCAGCAAGTCAAAACATGTCTCGTGGTTTTTGTTGGTCCATCGCTTCGCCATAAAAAGAAGGCAGCCACGAATGGCCAATGGGGAATAATGGATATCTCGAAAGAAATATGGGCTTCAGCGCATAAAGATGGAAGCTTCCCTATGGTTTCCCTGGAATCCAACCAAAAAGCGGTTAAAGTGAATGGGGTCGAATCTAGATTTCCCCCGTATTGATGGGCTGCAATGATTTGCTGGGGAGTTTCGCCATCACAAAGTGGGTAAGGGGGGTGTACAATCCCACTTGTAGAGGTATGTTAACAACGAGGACCCCGAACCTCCACCCAATCCGCCACTCTCACGCCCCAAAAAGAAGGCGTTTCGCCATTCTCAGGTGGGTGAGCGACTTACCCTCCAACCCAAAACCAACAAACCCAACAACCCGAAAACCCCTGAACTCCCCCCCCAAACCCCCGCCCCAAGACCCCAAGACCCCAAGACCCCCAAGACCGAACGCCCAAAACTGCTCCGCTTCCGCTGTCGACTCCGTGGACTCCGCCGCTTCGGGCCCCGCCTGCTGCTGGAACTGCGCCACGTCTTGGCTCAACGCCCCGATGGCTTGGCTCAGCAGCTCCTCGCACTCGCGCGCCGGAAGGTTCCGACGCCGGCGCGATGCGCATGGAGCCGGGCAGGGGAAAATGACCGGAGAAGACGGGTGTTCGTTGGTGTGTTTTCTGTGTTTCTTGGAGCGGGGGGGGGGGGGGGGGCGGGGAACGATTGTGTTGTTCATTTGTTTCCTTGTTGTGTTTTGTTGTTGTTTTTCTGTTCTTTTTCTTTTTCTTTTTTTTTTTTTGGGGGGGGGGCGGTGCTTCTTCGCGCTTCTTCTTTTTTGCCGGGGGGGGGGGGAGAAATGACGCGGAAAAAGGGTCGAGTTGAGAAACATTGAAAGACATCTGAGTTGGTTTTCTTTGAATGAATTGACAACACTGCACATGAGTGTCACTTTTTGAGGCTACCTTTTGCCCGGTCGATTTTAACGGGACCCTAAAAAGGCCACCGAAGACCCAAAGACCCTTGTTGAGGGATCCATTTGGGATGTAGACCCGAAAAATCGCAGCAAGGTGTTCCTTTTGGCTTCCCCTTAAGACCACCCAAAAAAGGGGGACCAACTCAAAAACAACAGGTTTCGACGAAAAATCCCGCAGCTTTCCTTTTGGCTTCCCCTTACAACCACAAAAAACACGGGGTTTACCAACTCCAAGAACAAGATTTGCCGAAAAAAAGCGAAAACTGGCGCAGCTTTCCTTTTGGCTTTTTGGGGGTACCAACTCCAAGAACAAGATTTGCCGAAAAAAAGCGAAAACTGGCGCAGCTTTCCTTTTGGCTTCCCCTTACAACCACAAAAAACACGGGGGGTACCAACTCCAAGAACAAGATTTGCCGAAAAAAAGCGAAAACTGGCGCAGCTTTCCTTTTGGCTTCCCCTTACAACCACAAAAAACACGGGGGTACCAACTCCAAGAACAAGATTTGCCGAAAAAAAGCGAAAACTGGCGCAGCTTTCCTTTTGGCTTCCCCTTATAAACCACAAAAAACACGGGGGGTACCAACTCAAAAAAGACGACACCCGCTTTGGAGATCCCAAAGATGGGATCTGGTCCCCGCTCCTGGCTCTTCTTCCAGTCCCCGCGGCTGCCCTGCGCACTCGCGACATTCGGGATACGCGTGGGGAACTGCGTGCGTGGACGTGACCCCAAATTTTTTTGGGGGAGGGCTCTGGGACGGGGGCAGGGATAAAGCGTGTTCTTTGCGGGGTACCCCCAAAAAATTGGGTGTGGGTCAAAATTAAACCACCAGGAATCGGACTGCAGGTTTGGTCCATGTTTCCATTTACCAGGGCAAGCCATTTTGGGGTTACCCTTTTTTTGACCCACGGCCTTTTTGGGGGAGGGCTCTGGGAAGGCAGGGATAAGACGTGTGCTTTGTGCGGAAAATAGTAATCAAAGGACAGCTGAGTGGTCATTTTGATGGTCGTAATCCCATGACCAGGCAACGAAATTAACTGTGGGGACTGTGGGGATGGTGGGACTGTGGGGATTGTGGGGACTGTGGGCTAAAAGGTAATCAAAAGATTGTGGAGTCATAATCCAAACCCGGTATTCAAATGGTCGTAGTCCCATCACCATGTAAAGAAATCAAAGGGTTGAAGCCGCACCTACTTGTGGTTGGACTATCCGTCACTCACCTTCATCTACCCGAAATGAGAGATACTCCTTCGCAGAATGAATTCGCGGTGGGGAATTCAAGAAGGCAGTAGCTGTCTCTCGCTTTTTGGTCGGAAAGGGAAAACAAAACAAAACAGACCTGAGAAGAAACAGCTTCGCAAATTGAAGCTGTTACTTTTTGTCTAGAATCTTCCTGGTCCAATTCCCAAGAAATCGGAATGTATCTAAGGGGAATTGCCATTGCGAAACGGGGGAAAAACTCGCTTTCGTGGATTCCAAGCTCGAAGTCCAATGAAGAAAAATCGGGACCCCGACCGGGTAGGCCCAGCAAGCCCCGGAGCCAGCCGAACGCCTGCAGCTCCTTGTGAAGATTCGTGCAATTCCCGTGGAGGATGTTCATGGCTTGATCCACCTCCCCGAATTTCAAGAGCGTCTGCTCCTGCGCTGAGCTCCCAAATGCTCTTGTCTAATCGAATAGGGAGACACCCGGTTCTCTTTGGATTCGTTTGGAAAGAGTGCGGAATCATGGAAGAAAAGGACAGGACCCTCTTACCGTCCGACATCCATGGAGGGCCTCTTGCAGAGGACAAACAACAAACAACAAACAACAAACAACAAACAACAAACAACAAACAACAACGACAACGACAACGACAACGACAACGACAACGACAACGACAATCAACAAAATGGAAGTGGAAAGAACTTTGAGGCCTTCAGATCAATGTCGGCCTTCAGCTTCCAAAGACGGCCGATGCGTCCACAGCCTTAAGGGGGCTCAAAGCCCGCCTGTTTTTTTTTTTTTTTGGTTTTTTTTTTTTTTTTTTTTATGGAGTGCCTCCAAACCTGGGCTGTCCGCTTTCAGACCCCCTGCTAGCGAACGACGGTTGGTGAAACCCAACCACTCAACCCACCAAAAACCACGGGAAAAAAAGAGATCAGGAACCGAATGCCAAAAAAAAACCGATCAGGAACCGAATGCCACACAAAAACAAAAAAAAACGCCTGCCCAGACTCCGCGGCGCGCCTGGACAACCCCCAGGCTCCGGTGCAGCTTGCTGATCTCCAGCGAGGCCGTGGCTTTCAGGCCCAAGGCGGGCGAGCCTGCGGCTGGCGGTTTTTGGACCCCTCAGAGCCACCAAAGTGGTGGGTCGCCGAGTCGCCAGGGGAAAAACTGACTTTGATATATGACAAGCCCCAGTCAAGACAATCCCAGAAGTCTGCCAGAAACAAGAGAAAAAAACAAGTGGCTGACTTTGATACCCTAACAGTCAAGATGACCCCGCAAGTCTGATTTCCGGATTCGCGGATCTGATTTCACGGTGCACAGCTGATACTCAAAGACTCTGGAGCCGCTCATAGTCGGTAGGCCTCTCTTTAGAACCCAAAAAAACGGCAACATGTTCCTTTTCGTCTCCCTTTGAAACTGCCAAAAACGGGGCACCCTCAAAACGGACCTCATTCTGAGAGTGGTACGACCAAGGAACTCTCGAAACAGTAAAGGGAGAAAGCTCCCGGTCCTTCTGTCTGCACACTTTGTCCACGGCGAGTCTCATGGGATGTGGACCCCCCCAAAGTAGTTTTACCTCTGGCTTCCCTTTGAAGCAACCCCAGAAAAGGGTACCGAAACCACAGTACGACACACTGGGTTTGCTCTCACTTCCGAGTGGGGCCTGTATGGAACCAAATCCTGCCCCTCGCCAAAATGGAACTGGGTCCCTCTTGAGGGCTGACCTGCCTTGAAACCCCCGAGTGTCTCAACCCTCTCCAGATCACCTTGGAACGCAAATAAGGTGTTGTCAAAATATGAACCCTTTCTGTGACCTGGTGCCGCCTGCCGCCTTTCAAAGAGAATACCAAAACGGGCCCCCTACTTTCGACAAACCTTCAAATGAGTTTGTCTCAGGATAAGTCTTGTCAAAATAGGAGGACCCCCAAAACTGGCCGTCTAAGCTGCATTTCCATTAAAGCCAAGGGTGAAGAAGCTCAATACTTGAGCCGCAAGAGACTGCTGTCGACTGGTCCAGACTTAAATCGCCTGCAAAAAGTGGCAACTCGGTGCTGGTTGAAAGGGGAAACCCAAACAAGGCGAACGGTACAAAAGATAAGCTAGGTCTGTCAATGTCTGCCAATGTTGACAATGGCAAAAGAGGGGTGTGGTCAGTGCGACCGCTTCCGGCATGGAGCATTTACTGGGCGACATGTTCAGAATTGCCCTCCAAATGGTGGAGTACATTGGGAAACCAACCCCTGACACCTCAAAATGCTGCCCCAGACCCATGACACCAAAGTGATAGGGTGAAGCGCTTGACTCCCTGACTTTGACCCCCAAAAGCTGACAGGTTGAACGACCCCAATCCGAGCTTTCCAACAAATTCCAGCCCAGGGCGCCTTCGCTCAGCGAAGCGAGCCCCAAGCCGAAGCTATCCTCCGGCGTGGGGATTGCAAGATTTGCCGATGGGAACAACTAAGTCGACGTATCGGTAGAATGACTCGCCGCAACTGCGTTCTACGCGGCGTAACTGCAAGTCCTACAAAAGTCTGAAATCCAATCTTGGACCCTATCCTCAGGTGTGGGATGGCAAGATTTGCCCAAGGCAAAAAGCTGACATCCACTCTTGGACCTCAATGTGTTCAGTACCAACGAGCCAAGTGAAGAGCCTCCCAGAAACAAGAAAAGGTAGCTGTGGCTCAAAAACGAGGTACCACCCCTTCCCCCCAGTGCATAGGAAAAAAACCACGGAATGCTGTGTAGAATTCTCAAGCTTGCACTTCGCAAACTGGCGCGTCAGCCAAAAGCGGAGTGATTTTATGCTGCAGCCCAACTTTTTTGAGAAAAAAAAACGAGAAAAGAAAACTCCCCCAAAGATACCCAAGAAACTGGCGTCAGCTTCGGGGCAAAACAAGCATCAAACAACTCCCCCCAAGGAACCCAGGAAACTAAAGTCACCAAAACAAAAAACACGTGAACGAGGATGAGCATCACTACCAACCCTCCCCACAAACAAAAAGATTGAAAGTCAGAACGCAAGCAAGGTTGTCTTCAATTTGGGCGAGGGGGTCCGTCATTGGGGTGACTCATCAGGCGGAACCCTACGGCTGGGGTCCTTTTGGTTTCCCTCTCAGTGAAACCAAGATGGGGGCGGATAATGTTGACCCAGGATTGATAAACCGGGGGGTGTTCCCTCCAAAAGTGGTCTGAATCCCCACTAAAAGGGGACACCCCCCAATCAAAATCAACCAGGGGTTCTACTTAGATCCGGGGTTAACATTACTCCCGTTTCAGGGTTTCATTTTTGGAGATGGTACCCCATTTGGGGTGCCTAAAAAGTTCTATCTAACGTGCGCCCCAGAGGCCCAGCCAGACTGATCCCGAACACGTCACGTTTTCCCGGGGAAGATGAACGAAACTGAGACGGGCCAAAAATCAGGGCAGAAAATCCCCTAGAGCCAAGAAGCTAGAACCCATGACGGATTCTCCAAAAGAACAACTCCAAGTCAGTTTAAGTCTGGCAATGAAGCCCCAACCATACCTACCTCAGCTGTTGCCCCCAACCAAAGCTGGTATGTTTTGCTTCTGTCAGCCATACCTTGGTCATTTACATTTAAACAAACAAACTACCCTCCCACACTCTTCACATGGGTCGGGGCGCGGTCCCTTTACAAGGAAAATGATCCGAACCAGGACTCAGCTTCCGGTTGTTAAGTGGTGGAAGGGTAACTCACAAAGCCACGCCCACACCAAGACTCGCTTCCCGAGCGGATTGGCCAGAAAAAGTAACCAAACTCCTTTTTCTTAGCACTGGAATGGTCCAAACCCAAAAAGTGACCAAAGGCCTCAATTGCTTGGGTCCCCTGGGAAAAAAATAATTCCAGTAGTGAAATCGATTCCCTTTAAAACCAACAGGGGAAATAAATGAGGAGAAAGTCTTAACAAAAAAAAAAGGAAAACGATCTGGAAAAGTCTGGACAATAATGAAACAAATATTCATCTCACCAAATGGAAGTCCAGGACCTCAGGACGTGAGAAGAACTTCCAAGGGCCAATCTCTCCTCGCTGGCCCCGATGGCCCCGACTCCGGCCCGCTCGCCCAGCTTGCTCCGCAACTCCGACACCTGACCGGCTCAGCTGGCGTCTCCGAGTGGATCTTCAACACAAACTTGAACACATGGGTGTCTCTTTTTAAGGCACCCCCGCCCCCCCCCCAAAAAAAAAAAAAAAGAAATGAAAAAAGGCAAACAAGTGGCTTTCCTTTGGGTTTACCTAAAAACCTGCTGAAAACGGGGGTACCCTCCACAAAAAGACAGACCCGTACCTATTTTGGTCTTGGCACTATTTAAAGGAAACCAGACAGAAACCCTAATTTTTGTTCATGTGTCCGATTTACATGCAAAACCTGCCAGGCCACCTAGACCGTGAAAAGGCCAACTTGGGAGGGTTCTTGCATCGACCTTCGGGCATGTTTCTTTGGCCGGCATCCGGCTCAGCTTGGTGAGGCGAATGCGCTTTGGTTGGGTCTTGTGGCTCTTGACACATACCCACATGCACGTCTGGTGCTACCAGGCTTATTCAAAGTTGATGTAACATGTCACAAGGTAGTAGGACCATCCAGCAACACAACAAATATGGGTCTGGGGTGGTGTTAAAATCGGAGATGGAACCCCAAAATAAATGATTCAGCTCGTAGAAGGTGCTTGGAATCGCAAGTTGTAATTCGCCCAGACCCAGAACCTTTACCAAATCAATGGGTCAACCACAAAAACAGTGGTAAAATAAAAATACAAGGGCGGATATTCGCACCGGTTTGGGACTCAAAACAGTCAGATAGGGAACCCTTTGTTGGACGATCTCGACAAACCGGAAAACACCCGCAAATTCCGCTTGTGCTTGGTGGCCTTCGTTTCAACAGTGCCGAGCCTCAACAAGACCACAAAACACTTCAGCCTGAAACGTACCCTGAAAAAACAAATGCTCGCCTCAAGAAGACACCACAACCCCCAAAACTTGTTTTTTTTCTGCGCGCCACTTTTCCCGACCAGCTCCGGCAAAATCCGAAGCGCGGGAGTTGGATCAATCGATCAATCGAGCGATCGATCGCCTGGCCCTGCAGCTGTTGGATCAGCTGGGCGCAGTGGCGCTTGAACTCGCTCAGCTCGCTGCTCTGGGCGCTCACCGCCTCCCGCAGCACCTGAGATCCAGACGCTCAGGCCTTGCGCCTGGCTGGATTGGTGCGGGGGTATGCAAGTGTCCTCTTGTTTTTGTTTTTGCGGGAAGCTGTTGTTGGTGGTTTTTGAAGAGAAACCAAAAGGACACCCACCATTTTGGAGGGCCCCTGAAAAAAAGACACACCCAGACCAAGGGGTCCAGCGGGATAACTCCCCCGCCTTCACGATCACCTCTTACCTCTTGGCTGCTGACCGAGCCTACGTGATGCCATGCAAGATACACGCTGGATTCAACAAACTGGACAATCCGATGCCCTTAATAGCTGGGCTGTCCTCGGATCCGTGAAAAACTGTTCGTGGGTTGAATGGAACCCCTACTAAACCAACTAAAAAAAAGAGAAAAAAGGGAGGAAACAAATGTATGGCTGGGAGCCACTGAGGTAGGAAAAAATGTTTTCGGCCCACCGAGCCGCGTCCAGCTCCGCCTGCTGGTGGCACCGCACGTCTGAGGCCTGCGATTGCAGCTCCGACAGCCACTGGGCCTCACTCAAGCGGCGCTCGTTCGGCGAAGCGAAACAGGGGGGAGGCAACCGACCAACTGGGCGTGTCATTTTTTGAGGGCTGTTGAGGAGAACCAACCCCCCTGCTCCTCCCGATTTGGGTGTGACCTTGTGAGGAGGGAGAAAACCAGAGCCCGTTTTGTGGGCGGGTTCATCCTCTAAGCGTCACTTGATATTTTAAAAATTGATGGGTTGCCCAAGTGGCAGCGTATTCATCTTAAACTCAAAGGTGGCGTGGCCTCATCGCTCGCCCCGTAGATCAAAGTGACAATTATCTTTGATGTAAAGGCGGGGCCGGGAAATCCCAAAACCAGCTTCAGAGTTTGAGGGCCACTCCAACCAAAACGCCCGCCCTTTCCCTGCATTGGCGAAGTGATGAACACGCCCAAAAAGAGTTCCCCAAATCGAGATCTGTTTTTGAATGTTTTTGAGTTCAGTGTGCCACATAGGCTTCCAAAAGAAACCGTGGTTGCTTCGCGTCGCTTCTTGAAAGATGTTCAACCGCGTTCCAAAAGCAGATGGGTCTGTATATAAATTCGGGGGGGGACCTTCAAAATGGTGTGTGTCCTTTTGGGAAGTTTCTTGGATGTTCGGCCAAGTTTGAAAGTTCGCCACTTGGGGTACCCCCAATGAAACGGCTCAATTCACACTAACATGATCTTCTCGGAAAGTATAAGGTCCATGAACTTGGGAAGCGTTGAACCCCACTTCTAACGGGGGACTTGTAAGTGGGTAACCCCAGCTACCTACAACTTGCTGGTAGCACACCTGAGTGCCCTTTTTGGTATGGCTTTCACGGAAGGCTTTTTCTTTGGGGGGGTGGGGCCGGGGGAAAATGGATTTGAAGAGATTTGGGTCTGTCTTTTTGTTGGTGGTGCCCTTTTTGGAATTGTTTTCAAGGGAAACCAAAGAAGCCCACCGTTTTCTTTTGGGGGGGGCGGGGTCCCAAAACCCGTGAGGGCCATTCAGCACAAGTTCTGTCTGAGCTCCTGGCGTAGGCCAACACCGTGGCATCCACGTCCGCCAGCGAGGTGGAAGACGTGGACCTCCGACCTGCGGTTTCGAGGGTGAAGTTTCGTTTCGACGTCTGGAGGCTCGGAGCCTGAAGAGTGCCGTATGTTTAGCTGTTGGCAGTCTTTGTTTTGCTTGGCAACCTTTGGTGCGTATGCTTGAAGGGTGCGGTTCGCCGTGTTTTTTTTGTGGTTTTAAAGGAAAACGTCTGGAGCTGAACGTTAAGGGCATTCTCGAATCCAATTCCAACTTGAGCACAGCCCTGGGTCTCGCTTTTTTGGAGGGTGCCTTTTTTATTGGGGAAACCCAAAGGAAGAACCACACTTGTTTTTGGAAGGGCGGGTTCCACAAACTAAAGCCAGCCCTGAAGCTCATGCGTGTCTCAAAATGAGGGGATCAACAAAATGGCAATGATTTCCTCTTGGTGTCCTGCTAAAAGTTAAACCCAACCCAAAGGGGGTGCCCCAAAATCAGACACACCCAAAGACTCCCAGCCCGGGTTATCTGGGTATGTGTAAAAGAAACCCTAAGCAGGCTATTTGAGCGAATCTAAACCTGATGAGTTTTTAGATCATACAAAGCATCAAACCGGCGGCCACGGCCATTAAACCGGTTGGGACCGTCCCTGAAAAGCACCAGAGGCTTTAGTTGTCGCTCACTTGTGGGTGCCCAAGGCACATTAGAGCGATGGTTTCGCAGCCGCCCCGCAGAAGGTCTGGTTCGGCCGTGTGGCAAAAACAAGAAGCCCCTAATTTAACAAAGTTGTTCGATTTGTGGGCAAGAGTGTGGTTGTTTCGCTTGCAACATGTAGAGCATCCACCGTCGAAGCACATGAGCTTCAAGTGTTTTCCCTTTCTGGGTGTGTTTGTTTGCCATGGAACATACCCCTGCCAACGGAAAGACCCAATCTCGACCTCAGCTCGCAGAGAGCTTGTTTGGCGCCAGTTGTGTGTCAACCGCGAGGGGGGGGGGGGGGGGCCGTGCTCCCCATATTTTTGATAGACGACCGGCGTGTCCACAAGGTTGAGTGGTAAACACCCCCCCTCCCCTTTTTCCTGGGCCCAACAACTTCAAGCCTTTCGTTTTCAACTCAAATGATCTTCCCGAAACACATACAGTCATGGGAAGTGGGGAAATGTAAATGGCAAAGGAATCAGTGAGGAGATGATTGTAGCAAACGAAGAGTTCAACGATAGTTCGTAAAATTTCAAGACAGTTCGTATTGATATGACTGCTTCATATGCGGTGTTTGTTCTTTTTTTGGTGGGTACCCTTTTTTAAGCGGGTTCAAAACAAACCGAAAGTAAAACCGTTGCGCCATTGTTTGCCGGTACGAAACACAAGACGAGCCGCTCAGTGGGTTTTGTTGGCTTGATCATAGTTGGCAAGCTTTATACGCCTCTTCACATACTGTGGATGGACGAAATCCTGCACCACTTTGAAAACATGGTTGAAACCTTAACATTTACGTTGGGGAATCTGGTGCGAGTTCTGGAGTTCGCAAGCATCCACAGAACCAGAAAACAACAACTGGCAAAAAAAAAGCCCATTGCAGGCGAACTGTCCTCGAGTTTTGATACGTTTGCTGAAGTTTAGCAAGCGTATCATGAAGCCAACGGAGAAAACCCGCCCAAATCCTGATCAACGAAACTGCCATCTCATAAAACCAAGAGGTAAAACCGCCCCAAATATCTCAAAAGGATACACCCATCTCATGAAACCGTCCACCTCCTGCATTCTTTCGCGTGGAGATCCGCCGCTTTTTTCAAGCCGACCACACCCCCAACGAGCGAGGAAAATAAATCCGCCTGAGGGACTGCCTGGCCCATCCCCGGCCATGGCCATCCAGCGCGCCCACGGCGAAGGGGCTATCTTGTGCGGCGTCTCATATTTGTGCTGGGTATATATATATATATATACTGCTATTCCTATATTTCTATAGACGTACATACAAATACAGACAACATATAGATCTACCTATGTGTTATGGAAACATTTGTATATATATATATATAGTATGGACATTTATCTGTATACAAGGCACCAGGTTGGCGGATTTGTCCATCATACACATCGGATGGCGGAGTTCTTCACTCGTTAAAACAAACTATGGTGCCCAGTTCAGGCCACCTCGCCGACGTATCACGCCGGGTGCCAAGTGGCAAGTGTCACCTTTTGTGGGATGAGCACCTCCGAGAAATGCAAGGAGCATTGGGCATGACATGTGGCTGTGGGTCAAAAATAGTTGCCCATGGAACATGGGCAAGAAATGACATGTGGCTATGGGTCAGAAATAGTTGCCCAACATGGAACACTGGTAATTGGACACGTGGACTAAAACCTGCGGTCTCCTGGTGATTGAATTGACATTTTGACCTATGGCCATGTCTTTTTTCCGTGAGCCCCAAGTGGCTGGATTCCTTGGCGCGCTTTGTTCGTTTTCCTTCCGGAGAATCTCGCCTTGCCGGAGCTGGAGCTGGCCAAAGAGCCCAAGGCCGCGCCCATGCCAACACGACTTTTCGACGTAAGGGCTGTGGCTCAAAAAACCGGAATTCCAAAATGGGTTGCCCTGGCAAGTGGAAAAATGGACCACAACCTGCGGTTTGCCCCTGCTTGATTTTGAGCCACACCCGACCTTTTTTAGGCTGTTTGCACGTTTTAGAGCCAAAAGGAGCCCCACCACCTGAAGGGTCTCGAATTCTGAGAAACAGCCACAGTTGGGAAACCTTGGAAAGCATGCGCTTGCCTGCACAAATCAGGAAACAACTTGGAATGTGCAGTACGGCCCGCACGGCGTACTTCGGAACAGGATGAGATAATAACAAGGATTCACAGAATGGGGGAAACTGCGACCTTTGAATTTTGTGCCGGCCCCCTGCCCCCTGAGGCGTTTCTTGAACGGGTGCCGTGGGTTGATTTGGGAGGGGACACATCGGATGTCTGGAAAGAAATATGGCACTGGAAATGCGGAAGAGGAACCCCCACCGGGCTTCCCTTCTTCCAACTTGCTTTGCCGCCTGCCTCCCTTCCTATTTCCGCGCCCGACAAATTTCCTCTCTGGTTTCACTGCCAATATACGGGCTTGTCTCCAAGTGTGACAACACCCCGCCCCAACACAAAAACAGAAGAAGAGCCCATCTAAGCCAAATAGGGTGCCCTCAACACACATGGCAGTGGCTCGAAAAAGCGATACCAAAATGGGTTGCCTGGCAAGTGGAAACATGGACCAAGACCTGCGGTTTTGCCCCGCCTGTTTCATTTTGAGCCACACCCACATGCACGTTAAAAAATACTTCCCCGGAAAGCCACCACCCCAACAGGAGACGCGCTTCGAAGTGGCGACCAGATGCTCGTTGGAACCCAACCCAGGGCCAGACTTAGATCCGGCACCGTCAGCGCTCTGCTGTCCGAAAGAGACGGGCGGCAAACAAAGGCGACAAAAACAAAGACATGGCAGCGAAGCACGGGAGACGCAAGCTGTACACCAGGATGAAATGTGGGCAAAGGGGATGACTAAACCCAAATATGGACATGTCCCATCTGTTTGTAACTGGCTGATGCATGGAAACCTCCCTTTTGCTTGGTTGCCCATGATTGTGAAATGTTGTAAAAGAAATACCCCTCGTTTGCTACCTCCATTTTTGCTTTGTTTGCCCCATATTTCGAGCTTTCTGGTAACAGAGATGTCCCCTGCTCATTTGGGTCTGGGTCAAGATTAAACCACCAGGAATGGGACCGCAGGTTTTAGTCCATGTCTCAATTTACAAGGGCAAGCCATTTGGAGGCTACCCCACTTTTGACAACCACATCCATCTGTCTGTGGCTCAAAAAAGAACGGTACCAAAATGGAACCCTGGTAAGTGGAAACATGGACCAAAACCCGCGGTTTGCCCCTCCTGTTTAATTTTGACAGCCACAGCCATTTGCGCGTCCCCCCCAAAAACAAGCCCCGAGGTCTGGGGTTTCAGTGCCTCAAGGGCTCGGGGCTTTCTGAGGCTGCGGGCGGGTCCAGGTTCAGCAGCACAGCCTCGACATGCAGTTTGGGCTCCTAGGTCCTCCAGACTTGGTTGCTGCAACGACCCCTCTGCCAAAAGATGTTCACTTGTGGGTTTAGGGAAAAACGCCTTGTCAAGTAGAGAGCTTAGAATAAGCTGGTACCCACTCTTTTTTCTGTTTCGTCTATCTTAGGGGAACCCTCCCTCCCAACCAAAAAGCGTAAAAATGGTCGGGCACCTATTGCCGGGGTCTGGGAAAGCCGCCGGTCTTCCCTTTTTGGAGACCTTCCAGGTCTCCGGGCGGGTGATGGAGTTTTCTTCGCTTTGGATTTCCCTTTGACACCCGATGTTCCGGTTCCCCATTAAATCTCACGGCCATATAATATCCAAGCAACATGTTCCCCCCAAAAGTTTGCGACTAAAGATAATCCAGCCCAAGAGCATTCAAGGCCTAAAGAGGGTAGAACCACCACCTCAAGGTGCCAAGAGAACGCCGGTCTTTGCAGCGCCCCTTGTGAACTTCCCAAAAGCAACATGGCGGTTCCGCAAGACGTCGCCATCCTGCAACACTGATGTTTTTTGGTTGAAAGGGACGATGAAGGAATCCCCAGAACATGATTAGAGATAGGCCCAGTTCTTGATTGTATGTTTTATTGTTTGCTCCACTTTGAGTCACTGGTAAAATGTAAAATGTATCCTACACCAAACAAGTACCAATTCCAAGCAAAAAAAGGGGGCAGACGTGCTGGGCGCCCGCACAATGACCTGATCCTTGCAGAGGCGCTGCGACACCGGCGTGCGCTCCTTCCCGCAGTAGAAGAAGCCTGGCGGCCCGGCGCGGAGAACCCGCCGCTTCGCCGCTTGGAAGCGGAAGCCGAGGCGAACAGAAGCGCAGAGATGCGACTGTGGGTCAAAATCCCGGCTACCTTTTAGTGAACATCCCAATCCCCACTAGACTAAAACGGGTGGTGCACCTACCCCAACATGGTACCATTGGTTTTGACCCACAGCCATGTCACACGCAACGACGCCGAAGCGTCGAGACGTCGCACAACGCCAAGGCGGCGGCATGTTACAATTCCAACACCTGACAAAAAGAAGGACCAATGTGATCAGCTTGGTTTACCCCCATGCGAGCTCGCCGTGAAAGGGACGAATATGGTGTTTGTAGCCACATTGACATATCGTGCCAACATGTGGGGCCCAAGTCAAAACAATATGCAATATTGTGGATGGACGAGATCTGACCGGTGGTGCGAAATGGATTTCGCAACCATCCACGGCTGACGTCGAATTGGCCCCTGGATGTTGCTCGCGGCCACATCAATGCTTGTGACATGTCAAGACACAGGGCTCCCTGTGGACGGACCAAAACCTCCTGGGATCAGTGACGTGATACAAATCTGCGGAGAAGAAGAAAACACGTCACCTGAGACAAAAATGTCTCTCCCACCTTGGAACATCAGACCTTCTCAGCAGCCATGCTCACCAAAAAAAGAAGAACAAAAACTGGGGCTGAGAGAATCTTCAGACCTGGGGCGAATTTCTCCAAACCTCCTTAGGATTGGCCAGGGAATGCTGGGAAGAGCTTGGCCAAAACGAAAAACAAAATCCAACCACCGCCTCCTCCTCCCTTCAAAGCTTCGCCCAAAAGCCCCAACATGGAACCACCGAGGTCCCAAGACCATTTGATGTCAGAATCAAAACCCGGTATTGAAATGGTCGACCCAGAACCATGTTGCGAATTTCGAAGGCGGATATCCGCAGCCATTTATGGCAAGGGGATTGTCCCTTACTCACCTTCATCTACCAAAGGGTTTTGAGCAAGTGGCTCAAATTGTCCCTTTCAGGGGAGCCCCCTGTGCAGGTTCCCCCATGTTTTGGGCGGGTGTCCGGAGGTGTCCAAATCAGTCGGAACCTTCGGAGTCGAAGCACACGCTGTCGTCGGTCTCCCCGATGAGCAGGGGTGAGTCCTGATTGCCACCAGTCCTCTTTTGGCTCACCGAACGAGTGGAAGGGCCAACAAAAGTACCCAAACTGTTTGCTTACAACTAAAATAGTTTTCCCAGAAAGTTTAAAGTGAGTTGGGGGCTTGCAACTTGCAACCTACCACATTTGTAAACTAAACTCACCTGAAGCAAGAGCTTTGCCATGCTTTGCCACTTGAGTCGCTTGGTCGAAGTGCGTGGGTCCCGCAACATGAGGAACAACCACTAGCAACAATCTGAGCGAACTGCAGTTCACGCGGTTGCGGTCGATCTAGGCCTAAAGGAAACCAACATCCATCTGAGGAAGCCGTCTCCTTCCCTTGAGGTCCCGTCAGCTTGCCCTGAGGCCAAGCAACGGAACCCTCCAAGAGAAATCGACCAGACTGCACCACCTAGGCCACCGGTTCAATTGTGTTGACTTCATTCATTAAAACAAAGGAAACCGGACTGCAAATGGAAGTTCAAGGGTCAACCCCCAAGTCGAAGGCCTCAAATGAAGCCCGGAAATTGTTTGAGAACTTTTTGGAAGGGATTCTCAAGAGGTTCTGAAGAGCATTCTGGAGGGTGTCAGCCGGCCTCCTTCCAATTTGATGACAGCAAACACAATGTTTCGTGTTGATGAAACTTGCCAGAAGTGCAGCGGCTTGCGCCTTATGCTTGCAATTGAGAAACAAATGATCCCCCCCTCCCCGAATTGCTTTGGAACCGCTACGGAGCGCAAACCTCTTCACCCGCTCCCATCCGCTCACCTGGCTGGAAAAGCCCAACTTCAGCAGCTGCCGCGGCCTCGAGGGAGTCATAGTCAAAACCCAAAATGGCCCACCCAAAACCATGTAAAGAACCAGTATGGCGGTGA